TTCTTTTGACCTAGAAAAAATTACAAAAGCATGTAAGTGATTAGATTATTTCTTTTCTTTTTTTTTTTTTTTGATAGGAAATGAGTTAACGGAAGTTCAGAGAACTCTAATCTCTAGGCTCATTCAATAACCAAGAAGGAAACATTCAAAATTCAACTTAAAAGAGGCAAATATTTCACTATTATTTGGTCTGTATTAATAATGAACCATAAATGAGCTAGCCATGTGTATTCAATGACAAAAATTTGAATGAAAAGGTAATCATGTACGCGTACACACAGGATAGCTAAGGTGATTGTTTTACTAATTTTTACTGTGATTTTTTTTTTTTTCTGCTACCAGGGACTGAACTGAGGTCTCTGCACTTGCCAGGCAGGTGCTTATGCTGCTGAGCTACCTTCCCAGCCCTTCTATTGGTTTTTGAAGGTAGCAGTTAAAGCTTAAAACATTTACTTTGATCAATTTTACTTGCTTATATCTAAATCTAAACAACCACATTGAAGACAACAATGTGCAATATAACAACCAAAGTTGAATACCGATGATCTTTTTCTAAGAATTGTGTATTGTCTCTAATGTCTTATTATTCTATTCTCTTTTATGAGAGGAAAAAAAGACAGAATCGCACTAGATCTCATATATGTCATGTAACAGTTCATATAAAAACAATGACAACTTCTCTTCTAGATAAGAAATCCATTTAAAACTTAAAAATGAGTTTAATTTAAATGGCTTGTGCCAGCAAATTAAATCAAAAATGAGAAAAAAAGGAATAGGGAAGGGACTTCACGATTTGCAGAGGCAGCTGTGGGGAGTGGCTAGTCTATCTCCACAATAAACTCTTCAAAGTGCTGAGCAACTCTGCAGTCCTGTGCACCGAGCTGTACACACATTACAGGACGTGATCCTAGTGTTCCTGGCAGCATGGGTCCAAGTTTGACAGTCCTCATTCAAGTTTCACTGCACAATCTACTTGGATACATAGATTTGGGCATGGACTCTGTTGGTTTATCTCTAAAGCAATGCTAGGAGGGCCCACCCCATCAGATGTGTGCAATAATCACTGTGAAACATGGAGCATGGTGCTTAGAACACAATGAACACTGTGTTGAAGCTGTTTTTACTTGAACAAGGCTATCAGACTTAAGTACAGGGCTCTGCAGAACTGAGTGCCTCGGGCCTGCAGGAGCCTCTTTTATGTGTTGCAGGACTGTCTCACATAAGGCTCACCTTCCTGACCCTCAAAGTGGTTGCTACTAGAACAAGAAGAGGGTCATGTTTGGAGTGTATGATAATATCTGGATCCTGGAAAACTCTGAGAAACACTCCAAAGACCAGATCAGAGGCCTCATATGGCTTCAAAGCTGGAGGGCCAGCAACATAATTCCAAAAGTAGTGGCTGGAAATAGAATGTTCACTGGCAATTTACCCAACCTCAACAATCACCTATCTCTATAAACACTTTAACAGACATGGAAGTACCCAGAGAGGAAAAAAGTACAAAGAAGGGTGTGGAACTTTTTCCTAAGAGGAAAGAATTTCTGATTCTCTCTGCAGTTAAAATGGGTCTATTTGGGGGAAAAAATGCTATGGGCCACCAGGTACACTGGAATTGCCCTGTACACAGGATTTGTCCTATCAAAATGTCATTTACTTTCAAAAATATATTTTAAAAAATGTTTCCTTTGGAAAAAAGGTTCCCCTTGTACAGAAAATCCTGGAATACCTATGGGAAATGGGGACTCATAAAAATCAATCTCCTCACCCAGCAGCTAGGAGTGTGGGCTGTGGAGAGGAAGGCTTGCTTACCATTACACAGTGGGGAAAAAAGCAAAGCAGAATGAAAGTCCTGTCTCCCCATTCTTTCATTCCATATTCCTTTTGATTTTTGTTACCTGAAATCAAACTCAGGACCTTACACTTGCCAGGCAGGTGCTTATGCCACTGAGCTATTTCCCTGGCCCTACAATGCATATTCTTTGCTACCTATGTTTATTAACTGTCCTGATTTAACGCCTTTATTAATTTATCTTGCAAACTTTCTATATAGATGTGTGAATACAATTAACAAACACAAAATAACTTTTATGTACCTAATTCAAAATTTAAGCAAAGATAGAAATTATACAAATGGCTGAGTTTTTCCTAAATAAATATAAAAGTAAAACCAATCTCCCCACACCTTCATCTGCCACTATTCCAGTATTAAAAAAAAAAAAATACCTTCAGAAAAATTTTCTCTAGCAAGATCAGACACTCTGGATGTTTGTGAGCAGACTGTGGGGCTCTGGAAGGAGGGGCACTTGACTTGATATGGTTCAACTTCCTAGAACCAGGAAATCTTTACATGGCAAAATATAACTTGAAATTATTCTGTACTTCCCCAAGTGATAGATGAAAACTATTCTTTTCTAAATTCTGAAATACTAAAAAAGCTCTAAGTCTTCTATAAACATCATCTCCAGATTGTCTGGACCTTAGGTGTTAGGTGCTTGGCTCCCAGCCTGTGGCTCTGTTAAGAGGTGAAGTAACCATTAAAAGATGGCGCCTAGAAGGAAGTTAGATCACTGTGGACATGACCTTGAAGCGGGTATTGGGACCCTGGCCCGTCTGTTTCTGCTTCCTAGCTGCCACAGGTGAAACAACTTCTTCTGCAACCATGGACACACTGCCCAGCCATAGGCCTCAAAGGAATGAGCCAAGTGACTGTGGACTTAAACTTCTGAAGCTATGAGTCAAAGTAAACTGCCTTTATGTTGAGTTAGCTCGGTATTTGTCTCAGTGACAGAAAGCTAACATAAGACAATTGGCATTGAAAAGTCGCCATTTTTATGGTTGTTCTTGATGATGTGGTTACAAGCTTTTGGATTTCTGGGAGGAGTTTTGAGATAACTGTAATACAGAGAAAATGAGTAATGCTGTAAGCAGAACTCGGAGAGGATTCTGGTGAGGGCTCAAGATAGACTGCTGACAGGAATCAGGACAATAAAGGCTGCACTTCTGAGATTTCAGGTGGAAATGAGGACTCTAAGGAAATAGACTAGAGACCATTTATCTTACATTTTGTCCACATCTTGAGATATTGAGATAAAGCTGAGTTTAAAGGTGATGAAGGATACATCAAGGTAGCACAGTGTTCAGGCAGTAGCCTGGATATTGCTGGCTACTTTTAGCCAAATTTAGTGAGAATAGGGAGCTAAAAAATAGCAGAGAATGATCTGAAAAACTTGCAGTTTGACTAGGAGTATGTATAAAGTTCCATCTAAGTAGATGAGGTTGCAAGAGAGAATAGTGACATTAAAAAGTGAGCCTGGAGGGCCTGGGGAGATGGCTCAGTGGAATAAGCGCTTCCCTGGCAAGCACAAGGATCTGAGTTCGATTCCCGGTTCTGAAAAAAAAAAAAAAAAAAAAAAAAAAACCTAGCCTTCTAAGGTCAATTAAGACTCAGGACATATGAGAACTTGTACTGTAACGTCATGTACCTCGGTAGTGTCCCAAATTTTCTGATCAAGAAGATTATGGGGCCAAAGAGGAAAGTGATCGATGACGTAGAGTGTGCCTAAGGAGAGTCACATGGGGAGAAAACACTCTCTCAGGCTTTCACAGAGAGCACATTGGCCAAGCAATGGCCGTGACTCATCCACATGGCTGCACTGATAAAGGTTCTACAATCTGAGGTACAGGATCTCAGGACAAATCCTGAGGGCATCTCACTGACCTTCTCAGACCAAAAAGCTACAACTCTTGTTGCATAGGTCCTGCTTTACCTTGGTCTTAACTATCCAGTAGAAAAGTATGAAGATGAAATATAAGAAATAAAGCCATGCTGTTAAGTTGAGCTGTGGGGGACTCAGGTCAATAATTTCTGACATTGCCAGTTAAACAGAAGACCCAATGCTATTATGGGCTACTGGACTCTTTTAGAATATTTTGCTGAGTTTACACACCTATAATATTCAATAACGGAACTTAGAAAAAATGGGGTATACCTATGAATGTCCATTTAGTATCTGTGTATTCAAAGTGGTTGGGATATATAGTTGCATTCTCTTAATGAACAGAATGATTTGTTCTAATGGTGTTTGTAAATAGGATCACAAGTCCGCATCTTGTACAGCAATTAACCACTAAGAAGAATATATACAGTGTATTATTTGTTGAAACTGTACTTCCGATTTGATTTGAAACTGTCTCATTGCTGTTTATCAATAAAACTTTGAAAAAAAAAAAAAAAGTGAGCCTGGAGACTGAACTTGACGGTAGAGCATCTACTAGTGTGCATAAAGTCCTGGTTTCTTTGATAGCAAAAGAAGCCTAATATTTTGCACTGAAACAATCAGAAGGATGCCTTGAGATCAGCTTGGGAATTTGCAGGACCCCACTCATCCCAGGCTCAAAGTATTAACTAATTTCATTTCTTTTTTCCTCCCCTCCCTTCCTCTCCCCTCCCCATTCTCCCTCCTTCCCTTCCTTCTTCCTTGCCCTGGTGACTCTGTTCACATAAAGATGTCAAGGGAATCATTTTTCCAGGGTCGGTTTTCCACTCAGAGGCCACCACATCTGTGCTTATAGTGGCTCCTGTTATAACTCATGCTGGTGCAAGGCCTTGGCATCACCCATCTGATCTGGCTTTGCTATCTGCTGAGTGCACGAGTTTTGGAGGTTTTGTCTTTTTTTAAATTTTTTAAATCAGGAGACTAATGGAAAGCTTGGGAGGCCAGGCAGCATGTGGCAGGGTGATGCATGAAGTGAAAGTGAAAGCCAAGTTGAGATGGAGAGCCCAGGAAGACAGATGTGAGAATGAAGAATGCCTGCTGAGGGACACTGGGAGTGAACAGAGCCAATTCAAAGAGCAGTCTGAGTTGCAAGGAGCAAGGCCAGAGGGCTGGGGTTGCTCAAACCTTCTGGAGAACACATCAAATATAGGATTTAAGGGTTTGCCCTGCTGGGTTTTGGTCTTGTTTTGGCCCAAGCCTTCCTTTCTTTGTTCCATTTCCTCTATTTTAAAAATGGTATGTATACCCTGGGCCAGTGTATCTAAGTAAATTTCCTTTTGACTTTTACAATACCTGAGTTTGCACTGAGTTTCCAAAGACTGAGGACTTAAGCTTTTGAGCGATGCTGAACTGTTAAGTTTATGGGGATTCTTCGAGATGGATAGATGCACGTGCCAGGGAAGACCAGCAATAAGCCCATTCACACAGATACTAAATGGGGGCTGTGGAATGTTATAGTCTGGATCTGAAATAGCTCACCAGACTGTGGCGCTTTGGGGAAGTGCTAAACCCTTTAAGGTGGGGCCTTGGTGGCCTGCTAACTCAGCTGGTTAGAGTGCGGTGCTAAGAGGTGGGGCCTTGTAAGGATGTCAGGCCTTTGGAAGTATTCCCTTAAAGTGGTGACTGGAACACTGTTCCCTTTCTTCCTGTTTTCTTCCTACCCACCAAAAGATGAATAGGCCCCTAAAGCAACAGTGTAATGCGATCATGAATGTAAATTTCTGAAACTACAATCCAAAATAATTTTTTCCTCTTTTTAAGTGGTTTACCTCAGTTATTTTGTGATAGCAACAGAAAGGTGAACATGATATGATATGAACATAATGCTAAGATACAGCAAGACATATACTGTACAACTCCACTTATATAAAGTTACAAATCAGACAAAGTCAACCCATGGTGTTAGATGTCTCTCCAGGAAGAACTGCTTGCTGAAAGGGAGGCTGAGGAGGGTCTGTGGGACCAGCAGTGTTCAATTTATTCAAGTTCACACCTAAGAACAGACTTTAACAGCAACAATAAGAATGCACAAGTGACAGGAGTTTCATGGGCATGAAAATGAATTCAAGAAATGAACTAAAAAACATATGCTAAATCATGCACAAAAGATCTACGTTGAAAGAACTGATGTTAACAAAACACTGTAAATCTGTTCAGTACAGAAAAACAAGCACTTGTTAATTTTTTTGTTTAAATTTACAACATTTAACGTTTTAGATTAATCTCAGTATTCTCTGTCCCCAAGGCTAAATGCTTTTGTAATTTCTCAATCCATGGAGTAAAGTTATCTTTATTAAACTTTTGAAAAAGCATATCCACTGTAATGAAATAAAAATGATTTTAGCAAAAGAATTTATTAAACACTTTTCTCTGCATTTTTATATTAATCTTGGTACTATTCATCACTACTGCATTGTTCTTACTCCCCAAAGATTTTCCAGTCATGGAAATGTTAAGTAATTAAAAACTGTCATCCCTTTCAGTTTCTTTACATTTAACTTTGGAATTTACTGTTAATTTGAACAAGAATAGTGGAAACACTGTCACTGCTCTAATATTTCAATGTTAATCTGCAAAGCATTCATAAATTTATAAACCACAGCTCCCTCTTCCCAGGCTATCATCTCAGAATTTCATTCTTAGCCTAACAGAAATCATGTGACTAGATTTTTGTTTGGCTCTACAAATTATCCTCAATCAGATTGGAAGTGTCATTGAACTTTGCCAGCATCAAGTAAGAGATTTGTGCCGGGGAAAGAAAATAGTCCTTTGCTTTCAGAATTAAATCTCTTGCCAGTAACAATTTTCTAAAGATTCAGACTCCTAAGAGATAAAATCAAGCTTTGTTTCTAATTTTCCTTTTCTCTTTTTTATTTCCCTTGACAAATAAGAAGAGGGGTTGAAGGGAAGAGAGGAGAATGGGGAAAAAAACCCCAAGATATATCATGTATAGGTACAAATTCCCTATGATGGTGAAAGCGCCGAATCCTAGCCACTAGACCACCAGGGAACTGTCAAAGTCCCTGTGATGAATGTGAGATATATCACCACTAAACTTAATCTTAAAAGTTAGGTGTACAAAAACAAAGAATCAAGGATAATATGGGATCACTCTCTTTTTCTAACCCCTCCGAGAGTTAGGTGAACTAAACTCAGTAATTTTTTTCTCTAAGTGTTGAATTTAAGATTTTACAATTTTAGCTTTAAATAGGTCAAAATTTATACTGACTTCTCTTCTGCCAGTGAGCTATACATTTCAAATATGCTAAGCATAAAAAAGCTTCTCAAAAAATGAATCAAACAAAACAATATTCTCAAAACAAATGGTCAAATGATCCCTTCTTTATAAACAAGAGTTAAGAGCTTGCATGGACAAGATCCCTTTTTTATTACAGGAGGGTTCCTGAACTGACTAGACCTGTGCTTTAGCATGTCATTATACACAGGTGGCTCCTTGAGTTAAGTCAAATTAAATCAAATTTAAAAGTCGGTTTCTGAGGGCTGGCCAAATAGCTAAACAGATTAAAGCACCTGCTTAGGCAGACACAGTGGCTTGGGTTTGATCCCTAGCATGCCGGGCCGGCCACGCCCCTGGGGCACACTGAGAAGTTGATTGAGACTGGGCGTGGTGGTGCATGCCTGTAATCCCAGCTCTTGGGAGGATGAACACAGGCAGAGCACAATGAGTCTGATCTATGTAGTGAGAACCTGTAGACCCTTACTAAAAAAAATTTTTTTTAAAAAGTCAGTTTCTGGCTGGGCCTGGTGGTTTGTTCCTATAATCCCAATACTTGAAAATTTGGGGCAGGAGGACTGCAACAAGTTTAAGGACTGAACTACACAGTGAGACTGTCTGAAAAATAAGAAACAAACCCCTCATCCTGCCCAAAGTCAGTTTGCGTACCTCCTCAGCCACATTTTAAGGGCTCAGTAGCCACATGTGGTTTCCTGGCAAGCACGCCGGGCAACACAGACATATATTATCACTGCAGCAAGTTCACTTGATAGTTCTCCTCTAGGAGTAAGTAAACTTCAGTCTATGCTTCCTAAAATTACCAACTGTGGCTGCATAAAGCTAGAGTGTGACATCTGGGTAAGAATAAAAAGTAAATATTATTTGGACAGAAACAGAACAAGGAATAATTACAACCTGAAGCCATGCTAAGTCTGCTGTATTGGCAATGCTCTAGCACAACTAGGAGACCTTGCTTCAGCTGCAGGCCTGTTCTCCTGTGCCAAAAGCAGCCAAGGATACTTTCCTTACTTCATGGTAGCACAGGTTGCCTAGCCAGTCTGAACCATAAAGACCCTCTGGGGAGCGGTAGGCACCTGTATTTCTGACTCACGTTATAGGATACTTTTCGTATCATCAGTAGAGCTGACTGGCAAATGATTACCTCACTGTCATGCTTAGAACCAAGAAGTCTCACATGGAATGATTCCACAGGTCACTGGTCATGGGAAGGTAACACGCTGGTCAGTTCCTTTTTTTTTTTGTGGCCAGCTCAGCCTGCTCTGAGCACAGGGCTGGTGTGGAAGGTGGTGCCAGGGAATGAACCCCAGTCCCCGCATGCTTGCCTAAGCAGGTGCTTTAGACTGCTGAGCTGTCTCACTGACCTCGTGGTTCTTTTTCCCAGATTACAGAACACTGTCTCTACATGACAAAGTGATCCTGAGTTCACCTTCTATAACACACCATGTTCAAATATACACATTTATTGTAGTGCTCTTTGTCCAACATGAACACACATACTTGTCTACTGAGAGATGATGCGAGTGTTTGGTATCATGCTAAGAATATCAAAGAGGTAACCAGTTCCAGTTGCTTCCATTGAACTTCTTTATCTTCTAGTATACTGTGTTTCTAAGACTTTACATGGAGTGACTCAATCAATAGGATCCCCTCATCTCATACTCCTATTCTGCATATGTTGGTTGCATTATTTTTGAGGAAGATATTTTCATCCCATAGCTGTAAAGGGGAGCTTACACTATGCCCCAATAGGTCCCATTTATTTCCATGTTCCCTCTTGAAAATAAAACAAAAACAAAACTAAAAATACACAATGGAGTATTACTCTGCCATAAAGGATACACTTTATTCATGTGTAGAAAAAGAGATGCACTGTTAGACCATAATGGCAAGTGAAATAAATCAGACACACAAGCTTAAATACTGGATGGTTTCTCTTATACAAGAAACCTAAGATATACAGAACAATATGAAAGCAAGTAATAGAAGTAGGAAGAGAGATTATTCTCAAATGGAAAGGGAATCAAGGAATTGGAGGGGGGGGGGACAAGGGGATGAAAAGAACACTAATATGTGTTCTGTACGTGTACCAACTCCCCACAAGGAATGTAATTCATCAGGTGCAAACGAATACTAATCTAAAACAAAAACAAAAAGCCCCCAAACCACTTTCAATCCTTGGTAGAAGAGCATATCTGGAAGCAGTGAGGACAGCTGCATTTATTAGGCAGGAGAAGGAAAGGGAAGCAGGCATGGATTAATTCACAGAGAAGGAATTTAAGTCAGGAAGACAAAAGAACTTCTATATAGCACCTTGTGGAATCTCTAGTTGAAAACCTAAAACTATCCCAAGCTAGGAGCAGGAGATATGGAGTATGATTAGTAAGGATACTAAACATCATCACAAAGTTGGGCATGAGGCACATGCCTGTAATCTCAGCATTTGGGTAGCTGGGTTCAGAGGACAGCAAATTAGATTACTGCCTGGGCAATTTAGAGAGATCCTGTCTCAAAACAGAAAATAAGGCCAGGCATCACAGCCCATCCTATAATCCCAGCACTCTGGGAGGCCAGATCAGAGAGATTGGAGGTTTAATGCCAGTCTATGTTACAAAGCAAGTTCAGTTCAAGGCTGACCTAGGTTACATATTAAGTCTAAAGAAATAAATAAGTAAATAAATAAGATATTAAAACGGACTGGGCTTTTTTACCATTTTGAGACAGGATCTTACTAAATTCTTAAATTGCCCAGCTGGTTTCAAATGTGCGATCCTCAGGCTCCCAGAGTGGTCTTATAAAACTAAGGAAATTATATACCAGAGCTCAGTGATACGGTTGTGGGTAAATTCACCATTACTTATAATAGTGCCCTAACTTTGTTTGGCTGTTTTAAAAAATAAACTTTTAGAAAAGTTTTAGATTTCCATATAAATTACAAATTAGAACAAATCTATCAACATCTTAACATTATGGTACATTTGTCATGATTCATAAAACCATATTGATACTTTATAAGTCAAAATAAAATACATTTGGGGGGCTGGAGAGATGGCTCAGTGGTCTAAAGCACCTACTTGGAACAAGCTTGGCAAAGCACAGGGACCGCGGTTCAATCCTCCAGCACCACATGCCAGCCAGCCGCGCCCCCTGGTGGGCTGAGCTGGCCACACACACACACACACACACACACACACACACACACAATAAATGTTAAAATAAAAAATAAAAATTTAAAAAAAAATAAAATACATTTGATTTAAATTTCTACAGTTTGTGCCTACCACGTCTTTTCTGTTCTAGAATCCTATTTAGTGGTTGTGTTTCATTAGGCTAGTTTATCTGTGAAACAATCTCAGACTCTCTGGACTTTTGCTTTATTTTCTTTTTTGAGGCATGGTCTCACTGTGGAGTTCAGGCTGGCCTTAAATTCACTTGTAATCCAGGCTGACCTTGAACTTCTAGCAGTCTTCCTGCTTCAGCCTCTCTGGTTTTGACAGTTATGAGGATTACTACTTACATTTTCTGTTTGCTTGTTTGGGGTTTGAGAAAGGGTTTCACTATGGAGTCCAGGCTGGCCTTCAACTTCTGGCAGGCTGCCTGCAAATTCATGATAGTCCTAACTCAGATTCCCAAGTGCTGAGATTACAGGCATTCACTTGTTAGATATTTTGTAGCATGTTCCTCAGTTGGAATTTGTTTGATGTTTTCAGGAGAAACTAGAGTTGCAGGCTTTTGGGATGAAGACTATGAAAGTAAAGCATCATTCTTACCACATCCTAGCAACATGACTTATCACTGCTGATGCTGACCTTGGTCTTGGCTAGGGCAGTATTTATCAGGTTTTTCTACTATAAAGTTACTCCCCTCCCTTGTCCACAAAGTATTCTTTGTAAAGAAATTAGTATGCACAGATCACACTTAGGGGATGGGAATTATGCTCCACTCTTGAGAGTGAAATATCTCTAAAAAATAGTTGGAACTCTTTTGCATAGCACCTTACTCTTTCCTTATTCATTAGTTCAATCATTTCAATCAAACTTGTTGATATTTACTTTGTTGAGGTATAATCCACTACTATTTAATTTTCTTTTCAAATTGCTTGAGCTTTTTACTGCCTTGAGAGCTTTATCATGTGATTAAAGTACCTCTACCAACTGTTCCCATCATGCTTTTAAAAAATTTTAAAGCACATTATTTTCTGGCAGTACAAGATACTTTTTCTTAGATAGTGCTTGCCCCACCTTAACACCAGACATTTCTCCCAAGAGCCTGTTTCCATTATTTAAGAATGGTTTTAGATATCAAGGTCTGGTGACCCCCCACCTCTCTGTCTCTCTCTCTCCACACACACTCACACACACCCTTCTTTTCCAGTCTTGTCAACAGATAATCTGAGGCTCAGAGTACAAAAACATTTGGTCAACATCAAGGCTGATGATGGTAGTTCTGGGTTAAAACTCACTTCTGAAGATAGTTCCACGTCCTTTTCATCTGATATTTTTTGAATGACAATTTTACATCATTTCTATTCTTGTTTAATTATTTTTCTGTTTGTAGTTCATGAAAGACAAACATGTAAGAGTCTGTCTTCCTCTGTGACATCAGGAATCAGACTACCAGATAAAAAAGTCCTTATTTAGGCTAAGGAATTGGCTCTGTCAAGTAAGAGATTCTTGTAGTTCTTACATAAACAAATTGAAGGCTCATTCTCTAACACAAGTTGCTGGAGTTCTGCATGGCATTTGCACAGCAAAAACTCTAGATGTGAGCAGAGTTACCCATAATACTGCGAAAAGGAAAGACAGAACTCCACACAAGCCTTCATTTCCTGGCCACACTGTCTGTCACCTTCTGGTTCAGCAACAAGTTGTGAGCTACACGGAGGTGGTGTGGAAAGTCTAGTGCATGGATGAGCCTTACTAAATAGATGGCTGTTATCCAGAAACTGTTGTTCACTATGTGGTGACCTCAATTTGGCGAGGAAGTGAGTGAATGGATCCTTGTTTGTTGATGTAGTCAATGTCACCTACGGGTTTGACAGGAGAAAGAACCCTTTAGTTTAGCACGATCTCTCTTGGAAATTTTAGAAAAAGTTTGTTTATTCCTGATTATTGGCTAACAAGTCAATAATGGATATTTTCAGAGCAAACTTAGGTGTTTTGGGGCCATAAACTTCCACTGCCCCCTGTGAAACTACTCAGAATGTGTGGCAGCTATATTATCTCAGGTGAATCTATGTATGGGGCTCTTGATGCAGCAGACATGCATATGTAAAGTGTTCAATGTACCCAAATACAATAACTGGTCATCAGTGGGAGCAACAATGGAGAACACAGTTTGCTTAGTACTTTCCACGTGCCAGGCTCTATGCTAAATGCTTTACATGTTATCTCACTGAATCCTAACAACTAGCCTATGTGATATATACTATTATCTGGTTGATTTTCAGGTGCAGGATTTAAAAATAGTTGTTAAAAGGCTAATGCTAAATAATCAAAAAGTAAAGCTGGCATTTCAAGCTCTACTAGTCTAATTTTAAAACTTATGTATATTGATTATTGTATTACATTGTCTTCTGCTCCTCATACAGTCACTAGAATTAAGGTTAACCACCATACGAAACTATCTGTTCTTATAATCTGTGTGGCGGATGGTGGGGAATTGTGGATGTTAAGTTACTCAACCCAGTATTTTGTTGTTACTGTTTATTTGATTTGGTGGCAGTACTGGGGACTGAGTCCAGGGTATTAGCACTGAGCTACATCCCCAGTCTTTTTTTTTTTTTTTTTTTTTTTTTCTTCTCTTTCACTTTGAGGTAAGAGCTTGCTAAGTCACCCAGATGGGGCTCAAACATGCAATATTCTTGCATCTTCTTCCTGGGTTTACAGGTGTGCATCACCATACTTGGTTTCAGTATTTTTCTTTTAACTATTCAGTTTTAGTTGGCTTTTCAAACTGGACAGGACAATAACCACCCATCTAGCAGGGAAACAAGGCTTTCTTGGGATTTTGGAAAGTGTTCAAGTATAATAAATCTCTTGACCCCCAGGAGGTGGAACAATGTCTATAAATGGGTGCTGTGGGGATCAGAAACAGTGCAGGTGAGACCGATGGCTGGTATATTAACAAGAAGTGGCAGAGGCAGGCAGACTGGATGATGTCCTTTCCTAGCAGGAAGAAGACTGCTGCCCTGAGGTTGTGGCTCTGACAAACACAATCATCCAGAGGAGAATAAAGATCCATGGAGATAGGTATGGCAGGTACAAAAGGAAAGAGTTGGTCAGGGGCTACTAAACCTGCACCCAGAGAAGGCAGTCCTTCTATTTGAGGATACCTGCAACATCAGAGAAGAAGAAGGGTGAGGAGGAAGTCTGATGAAGAACTGTGCCTGTCTACGTGAACACTGCAAACAGTATATATAAGCCACACAAGCACAAGAGGCAAAGGTGAATTTGGAGCCAGGCTTCCCAATCAAGTGGAATTAAGAGCCAGAAACCATGATCCATAAAGTAACACTGGTGAAATGCTACAAAATGTCATAGCACACAAGATAAATACTATTGTGTTTGGAATAATGAAGTTAACTCTTCATGACCTTCAACTTTTATGTACTAAAAATAATATGACAAGATAACATCTAAATATTCAATATTTCAATGGATATTTTGAGCTATTAAAATGGAAAAAAAGCCTATTTTTCTAAAAACAAACTCTACCAATAATGGGTTGATATATAGTTTGAGGAAAATATTTAGTGTCTCAGTTTTTTTTTTTTAGGAACCGGGAATTGAACTCAGGACCTTGCGCTTGCCAGGGAAGTGCTTATTCCACTGAACCATCTCCCTGGCCCTTGAGGAAAATATTTAGGAAATGTTTAAACACTATTAAGCTTATATTTCAAATTACTGAACTTTATTAAAAATACAAGGGAGTCAGAAATATAATCTAGTAGTTCAAAAATTTATAATTCCTAAAAATTGTTGCTAAGTGGTACTTTGTTTATAGAATGTATGACCAGGAAGAAACTGCTGGCTTTGAGACGCAATCCGATTCCATAGATAACACAAGTTCAGAAGATCAAAGGAATCACAGAATACTAAGGGCAGCTTCTTACTACCCTGATACCACCAATCACAAATTCTTGGGGCAGGTACTCAGACAAATATGGAAGGATGGGTGGAAAGATGAATGGTGTGGCCAAAATATTCACTATGAAGTATGGTTAGAGGACAGAGAATCTCGCCCCTGCTCTCCATTTTTCCTGCCAAGTCTGTGGTTCAAAATAGCTCTTTTTAGTCACTTCTAAGGTTAGTTCTGGAAAAGAATATCTCTTGATCTTCAAATTCTATCCATGATTATGGAGTTTGCTTGTGCATGTCTAATTGACTTAATTATTATTAGCTGTTATTGTTGAGCTACATCTGTTTACACTTTAAATCTCAGTCAATGAACACATTTAGTGATTAATGAATGGATCCACTGTGTTATAAAAAAACCCGCTTGCTTATCCAGAAGTTTAGATGATGTTCAGGTAGTCAGCTGTCTTTCTAACCATTGATTTTGTACATTCTGCAGAGAAGACAGGGAAATGATATGAAAGTAAACATTTCAAGCATGGTCATACCTAAAAGCAGATATGTAAGGGCTGGCCAAATAGCTCAGTGGATTAAACAGGCACATGGGCCGGGGCGTGATGAGACAGCAATTGAATCTGGGAGTGGTGGTACATGCCTGTAATCCCAGCTCTCGGGAGGCTGTAAACAGATGGATCACTATGAGTCTGATCTAGTAGTGAGACCCTGAACATCTTGTAGATCCTTCCCTAAAATGCAAAAAAAAAAAAAAAAAAAAAAAAAACCAACAACAAAAAACAAAAAAAACCCCAAAACCCACTATTGTTGGCATTCCTATATCAAATTATTCTTAAATACTGAGTAATGTAGTAATGATTTGGTCACATCCCTAGTCCTGGAGTTTCATTTTTATGATATATAGTCATCTGAAAGAATACACTACTAGGGGCTGGCCAAATAGCTCAGCAGATTAAAGCGCCTGCTAGCAGGTGCAGGGGCCAGGGGTTTGATACGCAGGCCTGCTGTGCCATAAATATACTACTAGAATAATGGCAAAAGGATTTTTCTTTTTTTATTTCTATACTTGCTAAGCTCATGCCACAATTTTTGTGGCATTTACTTTATATTAGTTGTTAAATCCTCAAAGTTTTAAATTATCATTAAATGAAGATGAAAAATTCAGGGATTGCTGTAGTATAATCACAATTAAAACTAATGTTTGAAATTCTGTTTTTGTTTATAAAGGTTTAAACAAAGCTTATTATGTTCTTGTGTCTGTCAGCATAGAGACAATCTGTATATATGTATTAATGGATTTCATTTATTTGGTACTTTCATTGCTCATGTATTTTATTTTTTCAGTCCATAAAGTGGGTGATGTTTTCCTCCATTTAACAGAAAAAGCTACTGAGGACTAGAAAGACTAAGATTTATCCATGACAACACAGAAAATAAATTGTGAGTTCAAGACTTGAAGTCATACTTTTTCCAAAACAAGTGATCATTGGTTCTACACAGCTGCTTGGAACATGGATTCTTTCCACTTTTTTGTTTAAAAGTAAAACATCGTGATTTTTTTGATTTATAAGCTTTGTTATCAATTACAGCACTCCTACGGAAAATTGCTAGATGTTAGGGAGTAGGATTTTTGTAAATCAACAATTAGAAAGCTGGAAGAAGGAGAAAAGCACAAGTAAACAAAAAAGCCATCCCACCAAGAAATGTCTCATATCAAACTGAACAGTCAACAGAGGCCAAGGAATCAAACTTTCTCTAGTAATACATGAGTCTGTACAGCCCTGGGACTCTTGTGAATAAACCTCACTAATAGTAATGTTCATACAAGAAAGAAAAGTGGTGCCAGGTGCCTCCGATAAGCACATCCATTACACATAAAGACTTTTAGGAACAATTCTGAGTACTCACTCTGAAAGCCCAAGGGCTGCCAGAGGCCTTCTGGGGGGAACCCAGGATCTACTAAAGATTAACATGGAGTCATGAAAAAAAAAAAAACCAAACATGGAGTCATGAAAATTAAAGCTAGAGAAAACATTCCAGTTGGTAGTATGAACGGCTTTATCTAGCTCAATAATATAATCTATTCCAATTTTAACTGGAGGTTAGTTAAATGTGCCAAAGCCACACAGTTAAGTATAAACTCATGTTCTTTTTTAAATCTCAGGCATCTACCACACTAATACACAATGAAGAAAACCGAAAGACACAATTGCTTCTTAGCAATAAGAAGACTTACAGTAAATTTCAACAATTTTCCTATTGCACTTCATTCTATATTGATGGTGGGACTGTGCATCTTCAAGAGGCAAGATATAATTATTCTTATGTATCATTAATTGACTACATAGAAATCACTTTGACAATTAACTGTTGAAGACTACTTCCTCTTATCAAATTAAAAATTTTTATCAGTTAATATTTATGAAGCAACTACTAAGGAGAAATTTCTTGCTTAATAAAACTTTCTTCCATCACATACTAGGTACAGGAGGGTTTTTGTATTTATTGTTAACATTTATTAAAGACTTCACATGCTTTTTCCCATTATTACTTGTTTTTTTTTTTTTTTAACATGGAAAGAATGTATCCTGAAGTTTGAATCAGAGGTATAAATTCTAGCCAAACTACAAAAGGAAAGGTAGTAGTTGTTTATTATTTTATTTATTTATTGACTTTCAAACCTGACTAATGTTTGGTTTAGTCATAATGAATAGAAATACAGACTATGATTTAAAAAACTGATTCTTTTGTGACTAGCATTCAGCTTTGCTTACAGACTCAAGTCTTGGTCCCAGTTTGCACAATTCTTTAATCAACTCTGGGCAAGTCAATGAGGACTCTGTGCCTAGTTTTCTTAGTTAAAATGTGGAGCTGAAGTTAAATAATTTCTCAAGTCCCTTTCAGCTTGGGAATTCTAGGGTTTTCCTGTACTGAT